TCAGTAGTAAACCCTCAGAAGTGAACCCTCAGCAGTGAACACTAAGATGTGGACACACTCAGTAGTGAACACTCAGCAGTGAACACTAAGATGTGGACACACTCAGTAGTGAACACTCAGCAGTGAACACTCAGATGTGGACACACTCAGTAGTGAACACTCAGCAGTGAACACTCAGATGTGGACACACTAAGTAGTGAACACTCAGCAGTGAACACTAAGATGTGGACACACTCAGTAGTGAACACTCAGCAGTGAACACTAAGATGTGGACACACTCAGTAGTGAACACTCAGCAGTGAACACTCAGATGTGGACACACTCAGTAGTGAACACTCAGCAGTGAACACTAAGATGTGGACACACTCAGTAGTGAACACTCAGCAGTGAACACTCAGATGTGGACACACTAAGTAGTGAACACTCAGCAGTGAACACTAAGATGTGGACACACTCAGTAGTGAACACTCAGCAGTGAACACTCAGATGTGGACACACTCAGTAGTGAACACTCAGCAGTGAACACTAAGATGTGGACACACTCAGTAGTGAACACTCAGCAGTGAACACTCAGATGTGGACACACTCAGTAGTGAACACTCAGCAGTGAACACTCAGATGTGGACACACTAAGTAGTGAACACTCAGCAGTGAACACTAAGATGTGGACACACTCAGTAGTGAACACTCTGCAGTGAACACTCAGATGTGGACACACTCAGTAGTGAACACTCAGCAGTGAACACTAAGATGTGGACACACTCAGTAGTGAACACTCAGCAGTGAACACTCAGCAGTGAACACTCAGATGTGGACACACTCAGTAGTAAACCCTCAGCAGTGAACACTAAGACGTGGATACACTCAGTAGTGAACACTCAGATGTGGACACACTCAGTAGTGAACCCTCAGCAGTGAACACTCAGATGTGAACACACTCAGTAGTGAACCCTCAGCAGTGAACACTTAGCAGTAAACACTCAGCAGTGAACACTAAGATGTGGACACACTCAGTTGTGAACACTTAACAGTGAACAATCAGTAGTGAACCCTCAGCAGTGAACACTAACATGGACACACACTCAGCAGTGAACACTGAACATATCCAGTAAATACTGAACACACTCATTAGTGAACGCTCAACAGTGAACACTAGGATGTGGACACACACTCAGTAGTGAACGCTCAGCAGTGAACACTAGGATGTGGACACACACTCAGTAGTGAACACTCAGCAGAGAACCCTCAGCAGTGAACATTAAGATGTGGACACACACTCAGTAGTGAACACTCAGCAGTGAACCCTCAGCAGTGAACACACACACATACACACCTCCGGCTCAGTGTTCAGCATGTCTGCGTCTCTGAGTGACCCGGGCCGCGCGTGTGTGTGTGTGTGTGTGTGTGTGTGTTTCTGTGGGA